TATTGGTATATAATTTAACTGAAGATATCGTGTATAATAACGAAGTAAATGAAATTGATTAGAAACACAAAGAAAAATATCGTCAATGATAGCAAAAATCAAACCACCGAACGTAGTACTGAACACGAGACAGACAAGACAGACAGATGGGTATCTTGTGTTCGTGCAAAACAAATAAAAAGCTGGATTATAACCATAAAGAAATCGAAGGATTCTGAACGTTGTGTTCTCAAACGATTGTGAGCTTTGTGACCTTTAACATAGAATAAGAAGAACGTGGCAGATGTGGACGACTTCCGTCTATTACCACTTCATTTCGATCAAATCTCTTCTCTGCTTTAGCCGAACCTTTGATCACATGAAATGATATGTGATTCGACAGTTTAAAACAGCAGCCGCTTCCTTGTATTTCAAGAAACCGAGTGGAGCAATAACACTTTGCATTTGATTTCTGTTTTAATTTTGTAGTGCAAATGTTATGAAGAGGCTCTGATTAATGCTGAGGTTCTATCCTGCTTCCCTGCGCTGTAGAATGGGCCTTTTAAAACGCAAGCATGAATTACCGGCATCAGGAACGGTTACCACCTAAATCGGTTTTTACAAGCACTGAAGCTTCCGTCCAACCGGCTCCGATCTTTCGGAAGCACCTTCTGAATGACGCCATTGGCATCACTAATAGTTCCACGGATCATAATGCATCTATAATGAAACAATATTTTGTGAATCTTATACGTGTGTTGACATCATTATATAATGATGTCCGTGAATGACTAGCATCACATTGCCATTTTGTGCATATGCACACAATAAATATGTGATGATAACCTATTTAGTTTTATGCTCTTTTCCATATCAACCATGGGTTCTAATTTCTTCCATGTTAGGTCAATCACCCGTGACCTCGCTGTGAAAGCGTGGCGCGTTATAAATTTAGAAAATCGTACCTCCGTTATGCATTCTGAGCTTTGTTCGACCGAACAATTGGCGCGGTGGTTCTTAAAGTATGGACTGGTTATAGGATGCGCGTCATTAATGCTTGTGAAGTATATTAAGGTCATTCAAGGCCAAGGTCATCAGACCGAATTCGAGAAGCTCTGAAAGCTCGGGAACTTTCATACCAGTGAGATTGGTTTGGCGGCGCTCTCGCAAGTACATGACTCCGAAACGCAAGCGAAACAATGTTGCTGCCATTGGGAAACCCTTACGAATATGAGTTATCAATGCATCGAGACTTATTGCATCCTCCTTCATAAGCCTGGTAAATGACGGTGCCATGATGATCGAAGTTCGCAGGCAAATCTATAAATCGCATTACGTTAACACTGGTTAGGTCTACGGGCGCTGGATATACTGGGTTTAGTTCCGACAGTTTTAAACGGAAGACAGGATAGATCTCGGTGACCTAAGCGTCCCTAATTCTTATGTTACTCTATTTAAAGTTCAGGAAAAGGGTGAGAGATTGTAGTGGCCAATGGCCACAACGAGCCAACCTATACAATAACGGAGCTTGCCGGAACCAGTCTGTTTTGTTTTAAGCCGCAGTATTCTGTACTGGAGATCGCCTTCTAAAAAGAAGGCACAGACTCCTTTCCGGTCTATTCCTGGCACATGTCCAGTACGGCCAACGCTAAGATCACGTCGGAATTTCCTGCTTACTCAGATCGAGGAAGTTACATTCTCCACATGAATCAAACCGGGGGCAAAGGTGATGGAAACACCGTAATGTTTCAAGACAACATCGCCTGATCAAAAGTCCGCATGCACGCGTCCAATCGAGCTTACAGGACACATTCTAAACAAATGTGCCACGTGTTAACGAGAAGTTCATGGCGACACAACCAGCGGTTGCAAACGTACATGTCCGTCAGAGACATGGTTGGGTGAATCTGGCCGTGGCTGACCGCTGCAGTGGCGCCATTTCCGGTTGGTTGGCTGAGACCCGCGCGGCTTACGAGCCCGTTCGTACTGATGAGCCTGGATAACCATTAACATGCGCTCGAGTAGGGGTCAAATTGACCCTTCAAAGGTTTTTTCCAAAATGGTTTCCGAACGGCGCGGCGTAGCCGCGCCAAATTTTGCATAGCTCTAGACAATTGAATGGCGGGTTGTCTGACATAAAAATTTAGATGTACCTCGTAAGATCGCTGACCTCTGGCAGGTCAAAGTCCGGCCATGGTTTCAGCGAAGGCGATTTCTAGGGAATCGTTCAATTTGATCCAACAACGAAGTGTTAAACGAAGCCATGCATCTCTGAGATACTTTTTTAGGAAACACAACAATTGAATTAACATATTACATTGACCCACGTCAATTATGAAGGACAGACCAAGGTCCAAAGTAGCCTGTTTTATTGCTCTAGGGCTTGCTGTGTGGGGTAGTTTTTGGTGCTCATTTCGAATTTATTGATAACAGGAACTGCATTATGCACCTTTGATGAACATTTTAAAGGTCAGAATAGGTCACTGACCTAAAATGGCCCAAGTCATTTTTTAAAGGATTTTACTGCCTGGTTGTAAAATCTAAAATATAATCTTTGTTGCTTGTTCAAATACAAAGCTTAAAGCAGCCTTGTATTACTTCGGTCACTATGACCTTCAAAAGGTCACCCAAGGTCACTGAATTTAAATGGGCATGTCGCCTTTTACTTAGAGCAAGTTATTTAGGGTCTAGGAGCCCTTTGGATACCAACTTAGAATTTCACCTTGTTTGACCTTATTTGCCGAAGGTCATGACCTAGTAACCTCATAATTTGACCTAAGTGAGTTCATGCACAGGCCAAGACACTCCGCCAATTTGGTGTCTCTAGCTTTTTTAGTTCCCGAGATCTCAGGGGCTCAAAGTGACCCCCACCCGAGCGAAGGTTATCCAGCCGGCCATCCGGTTGCGTGCTAAGTGTGCATGGTGGTGTGCGAGATGGGCAATTCAAAGCCAGGGTCACGTCTGGTAAAGCTCTCAAACTGCTCACGGCGTGGCTTATAAACCATTCACAGCGTGCCATTCATCTACCAGGCTGCGTTAGTTCAGCATCGGTCATTTGGACTTCGTGAAGGATATCAGCCTATGCGGTCACAGTTGTTGAACTGATGACAAAGGAAGATGCCAGGTGAAGTTCTAGGCTAGAATATCATAGGTTTAGGCAATGTTAGGTTGGGTACGCTCACAGCCCATTATCAACACAGAACTACGCACCGGTACGGTAAGGCACATTCTACAACCCGGTGTGGACGGCCTGGTGTAAATCTAGGACCGCTTATTTCATTCTTCTAGAATTGTTTCAACTTTCCAAACTTTCGGCATTCAACTTTCCACTTCCAATTTGAACTTAAGGATTTTCTTATTTCAGCTCTCAACTTCAGGATTTACACGACCTATGATTTGAATAAGGATGCCCATTCCTTTCGTGGACAAAATCGTTAAGCCAATCGGCGGAAATCCATTCAGTGGTGTTATGGTATCATGAGTCACTGGTGTTATGAGTCACTGCAGCATAGAAGTCTCCTTATCACTGGCTTTGACGCAAGATGGAGCACGACCGATAACTTCGACTTAATTGCGGATTGGCCTTAAACATGACTCAAGCTTATTAGGAAGCATTCATCCATACTCCTGTGCATTCAACTGGAACTGCTGAACCATAATGTACCCGAAGGAAGTGAAAAAGAAAGTCCCTTTTGCTCTGCGAATGCCATTGACTTTCTCTCCTTCTGTTTTTCTTCCCTCTTTTTTCCTTTATCTCTCTCCTCTCTCCAGCTCACCCCCTGCTTCCCTGCCTGTAAAGACGCGCTGCTCGGAGGGTCAGGTCCCACCGTCTACGGTTGCGCCAGGGACTGACCTTCGGTGATGACCCAGGCGCTCCAGCAGTGTTTTGTCAGTAGCTATCGGCACCCGCGTTCGTTGCTTTTTTTGCTTGTTTTACAACCATCTTTTTATGGTTTCGCGATAGCTCCGACTACAAGGTGTCAGGAAGACGCAGATGCACCGTTGATGGAAGCTTCGATCGAGAAGATAGCTGACTGCGTGTCGCCGAACTGAGGTACTGCGGTACCGGGCGGAGCCGGGGAGACCCGAGCGCGAGCAGCCATGCCAGGTCTGACAGACTGGGGCGCGCGGTCACGGTCGCCGGGTGACAGCTGACAGCACAGTTGAGTCACAGAGTCAGTCACAGTCACAGTCACAGCACAGAGTCAAAGCAGCAATGGACCAGCAACAGGACGTCCATGGTTGGTAATTAATGGTTTGAGTTTGTATGTGGAATGCAGACACTATGTCGTCGAGGTTGCTGGAGAAATATGGTCGGCAAAAAAACGGGGCCTGTTGTGTCACTGCTTAGCTGCTTCAGGTCCAAGCGGGTCCATGTTGCCTCGTCCATGCAATGACAACCCCATAACTCAATGTGGCCTGGCTTTTGAGAGCTGGGGAGGGTTTCTGACCTTCATGGTTCTCTCCCGCACGCTAATTGCAAAGAGGCAGCAGAACTCTTGCGTTGTCGGAATCTCGAACCGAGATTCCATCATTAAAGGAATGGGCCCGAGGCGTTCATCTCAATCGCCCCGGGGCATTTCGTCACGCCTGGATCATGTCGCAAGTGACGTAATTCGCAATCACGTATCTGTAAGCGGGCAGCTCAGTTGCCCTACAGACATCAACCCGCACAATTTCGAAACCTGAATTTACGTTTAACACTTTTTTCTTGAGCGGTGAAATGACTGCGCATCACTGCATTTACCTTAATGTATGGGAATATTTATTGCATGAAGCACTTCTAGGAAAGCAATGTTAAGAAACCCAATGCACATAATCATCATATCACTATATCTATACGAAATCCGTGTGGAAAGGATAGTCTATAATCCGCCTCCCTCTGGAGGTTCTGGTGCCCTCCGCACGCTGCCCCTCCCCTCTCTAATCGCTTACACAAATCAAAGATCCCGATCACATTCACCCATCCGTCATCCGGTGCCCACCAACCGCGAGTCGTAAAACACTCAGAGTCAACCGCCATGACCGACACGGAAGGTCACGCTGCCCAAAAACGCCCCCAGCACATCGATGCGGCGGCAGGGTGCACCGCGACCGCGGCCGCAACGCCCGTCCAGGTGCGGCGGCGCGGCGCGGTGCACAACGCCGGCGCCTGCTCCGCATACCTGGCGGCAGAGCGGCCCAGCGCGACCGGCTATTCTGCTTGAGACGTCTGCGGGTGAGGTGCGCCCGCCGAAGCCTCTCCTGCCGCGGAGTCGGCGCCCGCCTGACCCGCCGTGGTCCGACAGCACGCTCCCGCGCCGCGCCACTCGCATGCCGGCTGCCAACGGCGGCCGCGTGACCTGAAGCGGCATGGTGCGGAACAAGAGAGCGGCGCCCGGCGTGCCCGACAGCGACGGCAGCCCGCGCCCGGCCGACCCAGTGTGCCAGACGCCGCCGCGGAGAGCCCACAACCCGCTCAAGGGCCCGGCTCCGATGCCGCCGTCGACGACGACGCCGCCCACGGACCGCATGCCGGCCTTGGTGAGCCGGAAGGCGGCAGGCATCGCGCCGCAGCCGCGCGGGGTGGCCGCCGCCGCCGGCAACTTCTGCCTGGGGCCGTACGAGCGCCGCGGCGCCGCCACCGTGCTGGCGGACGCCGCCGACGGCGACTCGCTCGGCGTCGACAGCGAGGGCAGCTCGACGGATGTAGGCGTGTGCCTCGACGACTCGGCGAGTGACGCGAGTCAGGACTCACTGGTGACGTCCGACTCGGCCGTCAGCTCGCCGGCGGCCCGACATGTGACTCGGTGTCGGCCGGCCCCCGGGCGGTCTCCCTCGCCGCGGCAGGTGACGCCCGCTGGGTTGGTGCCCACTCGGGCCCCAGCGCCGGCTTCAGCCCCAGCCCCAGCGACATGTCCACCACCAGCCCCAGCACCCGTCCTGATCCAAGCCTTGGCCTCAGCACCGGCCCCAGCTCTGGCCTCAGGTCCGGCCGTGTCCGAAGCCCCCGGTGTCTCCGTAGTACCTACGTCAACTCCAGCCTCGGCACCTGCTCCTGCATCGGTTGAGTCTCCGACCCCAGCTGCGCCTGTAGCTCCATCGCCAGACTCTACTTCAGCTCCGATCCCAGCTCAAGCCTCGGCACTGGCTATAGCTGCGATCTCGGCCTCTGCTGCATCCCCTACCCCTGGTGCGTCCCCCGCGCCGGCTCCATCTTCATCCCCGGAGATTTCCGCCGTGCCAGTTGCGTCCCCTGATGTTTCCAAATCGCTAGGGCAGAATCAATCTTTCTCCGCAGCCACTACCGCAGCACCGTCGTCGGCTCCACCTACGTCTCCAGTGACGGTTTCGTCCAGTGCTCCAGCCACTTCCCCAGCGCCGACTCAGACGTTGCCCCCAGCCACGTCCCCAGCGCCGACTCAGACGTTGCCTGCAGCCGACTTCCCGGCGGAGGTCTCGGCCACAGATACAAACACGACCCCAGTGCCTCCCACATCACAGCGCACGTCTTCGGTGTTCCTGTCCCCTGAGCAAACGACTCCTTCCTCTTCGCCTTGCCCCGTCCTTCGACCTGTCCGATCCTCTGGTTCCGCTGCGCCTCCATCCAACGCAGCGTCACCACAGCCACCTCATACCACCTCGTCCGTATTCCTGTCTCCCGACCAAACGACTCCGCCATCGTCGCTGGCACTCGCTTCCCGCCCTTCTCCCTCCCCAGCGTCCTCCCCGAGCCCAGCTCCAGCTTCAGCCAGCCCTGCGTCGTCGGGCACGTCGTCGGTGTACCTCTGCCCCGGGCAGGCCCCGGCGGCGCCTCCACCGCCGCCTCAGCCGCGCCCGCCACCGGCCGTCGTCCAGCGCACTTACGGCGAACGCCAGCGGCCGCGGCCGGCGCCGGCGCTGCCGACGCTGCCCGAGTCCGGCTACGAGTTCCATCTTCGCGAGGGCACGGCCGGCCAGGAGGCGCCGCCGCCACCGCCGCCGACGGAGGACGGCTTCGCCGGCGTCAGAGACCTGCTGACGCCGGCCGACAGGATCCGCAGCGCCAAGGGCACGGTCAGGGGCGTGCGAAACCGCGTGCGCGCTGGCATCGCCACCTTCCTGTCCGATGGCGCCGCCGCCAAGGTGAGGAACTGTGGGAAAACGTTGGGTGGGATGAAAGGAGCATGCTTGGAGAGACCGGGCAGGGATATCGGGCTCAAGTGCTTACTCGTTCCTTAGCGCAGGGACGTTTTGGACGCAAGGACATAAATATCGTGCAATGATCGACTTGCACGACACGTTTGGTCTTTGTTGCGTCAAATACGTAGCTGGTGAGCATCACGTACCCTATAAACACACAGCGCGCAGCCTGAAACGGTCTGGCCTTGGTTTTTAACCGGAGGTTACGCTCCGCCGCATGATGCATGAAAGCCGAGACTGTTACCGCACCAAGCGTGTCTTGTGGCACACCACCAGCCACTGGAACACTAGGACTAGCCATCATAACTCCCGTCGGTGGAGTCGGAGCGTCGAAGGCGGGTGGATGTAACTGCGCGTCGGCTCGCCACGCTTCGACGCGTGCGCCGCCAGGCCTGAGCGCCGGCGGGCGCAGCCTGGCAGTCTCGCTTTCTCCGGTCAGGATTCGGTTCGAGGGCCCATCTGGCACGTCATTCGGACGCTTCTGCAGAGGGGAGCGCCGTCGTGCAAGTTAATCCGAGCTGGCATCTGACCATCGCTAATGCGCCACGAATGTTAGCCGGCGCCGCTGGCGATAGCGGGCTCCGGACGATCCGCCGGCAGGATAAGCTCCCGTCATGGTACCGGGCTGAACGCGGCCGCCCTGGTCACGGACGCCCGTCAGCTGAATGGGCCGCGCGCGATGCCGCTACGCGTGTCGCACTTCCGAATGGGGCGCTTTAGACCGCGAAGCCTTCACATTCTCGTGGCGTGACATTGAGGGCACCGGCCACCTGACCTGAAGCGCGAGTCGTGCCGCTGACCGAAAAGGGTGTCATTTGGGGCGCTCGCCGTAGTGTTGCACTACTTATATATCGAGGACCATCGCGGTCGTTTTGTCTTTCGTTTCCTCTCGGGTTCAGTATTACCGAGCACTGTGCGGTCATTGGTCGCGCAGTGCAGCTGCCATATGTCACACCATCACTGGGGATGGTGTGACCATTCTGCTCAGACCGAACCGGGTGCGGTGATCCCGCGACCCCTACGGCCATTATTCATTCAGGACCCCGCCCATCGCTCGTATTTGGCGGTCCAGTGTAGCGGCGACACTGCTGGAATCCACCTGCCATACATTGTCATGACTGCTGCTGACGTAACTTTTCGCTGAGCTGAGCTGACTGTCTGTCCAGATAGCCCGCTCCCAGTGTCGAAAGGTCAGGACCTGCGCGTACGGAGGGAGCGATTTGTTCCACTCGAGCCAATCGCTGTGTCGTCAGCTCACGGAAGGCATCTCACGATATGACCAGATATGGTCTGCCATCAGTATCTACGGGCAGATGTTTTTTACCGTCCTGATACGCTCTCCTGCAGTAGATGTCGAGGGGTCATGAAAAGATTGACACGATTAAAGCCATACACTGCAGGGAGTTGGTATTACGCTAGTTCGATAGAAACATTTTTTTCTGATTTTTTAGGTGATTGCTGGCAAACTTGCAGAATCATCACGAATGTGCAGTGCAAAGCGTGACACATAGCTCGGATATTTTGTACGGCGGGCGCACTGAAAGGCGGCCTGCAGTGGCACCATCCCACAACATCGCCATGAGAAGGTCTTCTGCAGTGAATGCCGGGGCTACCGCGGGAGCTCTCCCGCCGCTCACCACCATCGGGGTCCCTCTCCCGCGGACCGTTCTCAGCAGAGAACGCGGTCTGCACACGCCTGCGGTCACCGAGATGCACGTGGCACGATACGGGCCCCATGCTCTGCTGAGAGCTGTTGGGACGAGACACGAATCCAAGGACACTAGCGATTGTTACAAAAGAAAATGCTGTCTTTTAGAATGCTGTCTTTACCGCATTCCCTGACAACAGCTGAGAAGAAAAAAACATTCAGCTGAAATTGGTCTTTAGTGTCATGTTGTTTCCAATATTGTTGAAAATAATAATGATAATGACTGATAATGACAGCGAGCAATGATAATGACAATAACTGATAATGGCAGCGAGCGATCGTCAGCTACGTTAGAAGGTCCATCAGCGCAAGCTTAGCGGGCCTGCGGGTGCAGCCCACCCGGAATACCCATAGGCCAAGTTTTTGTTTCGCTACAGTGGAATCGATTCATTTCACAAACTGATGTGAGATGGGAGCCGTGTCGTCTCTACCGGCCGAAATCAGCGCTGAATCGACTCAAACCGAACTGAAAGCAGCAACCGATGTGCTTATTCCGACAAGTCTTTCAAGCGGAGCGGACGGACCTCCAGATATGCTGTTTTTGTCTTAATCGAATGTGTGCCGTGCGCAGGGTCCTACAACAGGCTATCTAGCCAGCTATCGCGACCGTGGTCGATCCATCGGAATCAGCTTGGTGTTGAGCCCTGCCTCCTTGGGTCTACAATGGAGTCGACTGAAATTGGATTGTGATTCTCGAAGTCAGAGCCTGGATCAATATAATGCGCTGCCGGTCAGAGTCTAGAGGCGCGCAGTGGACGAGTGAGGGGGCTCAGGCTCAAATCCCGGCTGCACCATGGTCTCCGAGCGTTGATAAGGGAAATGCGGTCGCTGGTGCTCCATAAAAAGGGATGTGACGGTGTGTCGCGTTCGCGCTATTAAAAAGAGCCAGAGTCCATTCTGCAAGAGTGGAATTCTGCGTCAGTGACGTCAATTTGCTTTTACGATTTTGAATTCCCTGCTTTGGCGCTGACAGCGTGGTGTTCCACTTGCTCGAAGCTTCCAGCAGAGCTGCACCTGGGGTGGCCTGCCGCGTGGCCAGGTCCTCGGCGATGGCCAGGTCCTCGTCCTCGGCGATGGCCTGCCGCGTGGCCAGGTCCTCGGGTGGCCGGCCGCGGGACCTGGTGCTCAGGGTTGGCCGGCCGCGGGACCTGGTGCTCAGGGGTGGCCGGCCGCGGGACCTGGTGCTCAGGGTTGGCCGGCGCCGGGACCTGGTGCTCAGGGGTGGCCGGCCGCGGGACCTGGTGCTCAGGGTTGGCCGGCCGCGGGACCTGGTGCTCAGGGGTGGCCGGCCGCGGGACCTGGTGCTCAGGGTTGGCCGGCCGCGGGACCTGGTGCTCAGGGGTGGCCGGCCGCGGGACCTGGTGCTCAGGGGTGGCCTGCCGCGTGACCAGGTCCTCAGGGGTGACCGGCAGCGGGACTCAGTCCTCATCAGCTTTGCAGTCCAGAGAACAGGGCCTTTAACCTTGTCCACAACGTTTTCTCAGTCAATATGGGGGAACAGCTGACCCCGCCCGAGGCGTTGCCCCGGCCGTGACGGCGGGTCGAGTGACCTTTGCCGCAGGGAGTTTGCCTCGGTGACCCGGCGCGACGCGGGGAGCCTGTCATCGGCCGCCCAAGAAGTGGCCTGCGCCCGTTTGCTGGCTTTCCCGGCAGCGGCGCCACACCCGCAGCTAACCGGCGCGGCTGCGGTAATTGGGGCGAGGCCCTGTCAGCACGGGCTGCACGGCCATCGGCCGGGCCGTTAGTGTCGCGAGCCGGTGTCCCACCGACTTTCTTCGCCGGCCGCCCGTGGAGAGGTCGGGGTGACTGGTGGGGCGGCCGGACATGTTGAGAGAGCGGCGTGACCGACAGTGGCGGGCTCGGTGATGTGGCCGACGGGTCAACTGGCGGCCGGTTTCTCGGCGGGAATATGAAGACCATCGGCCGGCCGGAAGACATGCCGGCCGAATGGTGTTTCCCCACACTTTACAAGCAGCCCGTGACAATACGGGTCCGCGGGTAGCAATGCCACAGGCGGTGTTTGGCCACTAAACACCGCGGTGTTCTCCATTTCACCTGGGCCTGTTACTAAGGATGCTCTCCTGGTCTTGGAAGTGATAACATTAAAGATCACCTACCATCCATAGCTGCTGACGTTTCTTTTGACGGCAGATCCCCTCGAAAAGTTTCTGGCAATACGCATGTCTGGTTTGTCTGGCTTGCTTATGAGGCTAAGTTTTCTGCTAAGTTCATCTGGCTGCAGGTCGCCCTAATTGGTAATTGGGTGAAGTCATTTAGTTGATACATTCCACCAACTCGTGTGGAAACTTCTGCCTGCCTAGACATCAATTTTGCCCACCCCCTTCTCTCCCATATACAATAGGTTATATATATCACCCTGTGTTCTGTCTACGGTCAGCCGGCCAGATCATTTTTTTAGGTACCATTCCATGGACATGCTGATGCGTCGCAGGCGACGCCGGAGGGCAGCGAGCGAAGTTAGCAATGCCACCTCACCACAGGACCACAGGGCGTTCCGATACCGCGTGCCTTGGATCAAAAATAAATAGCACCGTAATGTCACCGGGACAAGGTTTTTCAGCTCTACCGGTTCCTGGTGAATGAAACATCTAGAACGCACATATTTTCACATGTACGAGCCGATCCGGTAATGTTGTGTCTCATTTGTACATGCTGTATTTGGTGACTGGTCGCCAATGGAACAAGCTGACGTGGTTCGCTGTGAGCTGTGACTGCTTTAAAGTGTCCTGTGCACATGAGCGCCCTGACATCCTTACGGGCCTGATTCACGTTTTTGCGCTGATCAAGAATTGAACCATCCTCATACACTCGCTTATCGATTCACTTCCACGCAGTTGGGTCGCTTAGTCTTCCGCACATTTCATAATGTAACAGCACGCAATTCCTGTATTTCAGCCATGCCGTCACATTGCTCGTCGTGAGGGGGTGTTCCATATTGGAATGTATCGAAGCAAGCATCAGATGTGATAAAATAAGCTCAATTTCACCTAACGCAGTGCTTTTAAGTAAAAAAGACTGCTCTAGACAAAAAAATTTCTCTGCTTAGTAAATATGCCACTCAATGCGTCATTGTTTGACCACGTCACCGTACCTTGCGCGGCACTGATCGAGGGCCAGTTAACGGCCGTTATACTTGGAAATCGTGCTTACGAATGCCAGATATGACCAATTCGACAACTATCTTTGTATTGGCCTTGGACACAGCATGGGTAATGAAATGACGGAATTTGAATGACGTTATTTTGACGCCATGAATGCTCAGGTGTCCTTGAAACAATCTGCATGAAATAGTTTGCACATCTTCGCGGGCGTATAGCTTAAAAGCTAGAGTGGCTTAGATTTTGTGAAGGACAGGGCTGTGAACCGTGCCGAATGATCTTCCTGGTAGCTATTTCAGTTTTAAATCCCATACAAGTGTGGAGCACCCCCTTTATGCGTTCATTTTGAGCTTTCATCAAAGTTCGCTCGAAGGGGAGAAGAAACAGAAGGCATGATTCGTAAGCAATTAGTATGGATCGGAACGACATGTGAAGAATGAGGAAATCACATGTCGATGAAAAGAACCCCCCCCCCCCCAAAAAAAAAGAAGTAAGAGCTGTGGTTGGGTTGACTGTTAAGTCAGAGAAAGCTTTTAGGAGGCAAACAACGTGATAGTAACAGAAATGGATGAGAAGAATTCACTATCATGCCTAACCGATTCATGGCATATTAAACCATGTGAACGGGAATTGGAAGAAACCATGTTGGCGAAGCTGATAATTAAATGTATTCCCTACCACCTCCGTATCGCGTTTTGCTGCTCTGCAAGTTTTGTAAAGCGCTACATGTCGAGCGGGTGACATGTTATGAAATATTTTGAGCGTAATAAGAAATGATTGGCGTTCAATGTGCTCCAGGCAAATCTACTCGGGAGATGCCTCAAGCAGCTTTTTTGAACTCCACTCATCCCGAGCGAGTGCGGCGCGCGTTACAGTTGCTCGCCAGGGCCCCGCTCGGCGAGCCTCGCTGGCCAGCGGCAGTCGGCGGCTCTTCGCTTCACATCACGGCATGCCTGGGACGGGGTGCTGGCCTTGAGCTGCCCTTGTATCGGCTGCATACACTAAGGCCCTTCTCGCGCTTTGTGTCCACTCGCAGCGATCACTTGGAACGCCGCGGGACGCACTTGCTTTCCTCTAAAAAAACTGGCTGAGGACGGTTCAGGGTCGTTGAAGTTTACTCATCATAATCGGCGTCTTATTTGGAGGGCTTGTAAACGTACTTGAGTTTTGCTAGAGGCTAGGTAGCGGCACTCCCTCCCCATCCCCACCCACTCCCACCCCACCGTTCATGTTCAGTGGTGAGAACACACCTGAACAAAAGAGCGCGTCGTGTGAAGGACGTTTTCAGCAGGTCTGCTGCCAGGTATTGTGTGCGAGAGCCCGACGTCATCCCGTCATTGCTCGACCTCCCGCGTGTTCGCAGTCAAGGACGCGAGACCTGGACTGCTTGACTACCAGCGTGTCGCCCTGGTCATGGACCCGGGGGCCGGTGTCCACCATATTCAGATCGCGCGCCGGCCAGATGGACCGCCGGCGGGTGGGCGCGTCTCGACTCACCCCTCACGGCCTTGCAGATAGCCATCTCGCGGACGACTGGAGGTGGCTTCGGTGGCTTTGGTCCGCCGGCCTGTTGCCACGCGCGAATGCCAGCTGAGAGCCGCGCCTCATACTTAGCTCTTTGCTTCGGAACGTGGGCGGACTGCGGTCTGAGAGGGAGGTTCGTGCCGGTAGTCCGCTTTTGTCGCCGCAGCCGGCAACGAGCTGTTTGTTGTGAAAGTGCAGCCAGCGTCGGACTTAAACGACATTGTTCGGGCTTAAAGGACAACAACGCTGATGAATTACGACATTTTTGTTTTCGATAAGTTGAAGTGTTAGGAAATTATCCAAACTCCCCGGCCGTAGAATGCAGCGGTTGTATCGTAACATTGCCAATTGAGCATAATGTGACATTATTTACGAAACCGCATACATTATATGGCCCTAACAGGAGCGTTACTTTCTGGAATCGGTTGGAGAGCTCCCCCGAAAAGCCTGACGTAACCTGGTCTGAAAACCTCAGTTCTCTCCGGATTTCGGCATGTTGAATTTGCGCGCTTCATGTTGATTTTTCAATTGTAGTATTTCTTAGATTTAAGAATTGTAATCTGCGAAAGAACTAATTCCAATTTCAATTAAATGTGAGCCGTCTTTTGGCAAAAGCCCTAGAATAGATATAACGCACAGAGAAGGCGTAAAAACCTTAGTAAGCGATCACTGGTGATTACCGCTGTCGCTGTTCGTGTTGTATAACTACCACATGGATTATGTGGCAAGTACACTTGCCGCTGTTTGGAAAAGCATGTGTCGAGTTTGTCTGGGCCACCCTGTACCATTTCAGGCTGCCGCATATTGCAGTCCCAATCCAGTCGTTATCATTTGAAAAACTAGTCAAAAATTTGCAGACTGGTTTAACATATGAAGGAGTAAGCATCACAGAAACATTAGAAACCTACAGGATATCATTTGGTACAGAATACAAATCATACTTATGGTGAAATGTTGAGGTACCTACCACCTATACCAATAGTTAATATACTTGTTCCGTATTTAGTTGGCCCAGTGCTCCCTCCGCTCATATGCATTGAGGGGGCCCAGAGAAGCGTTGGGGGGCCGCTCAGGTCAGCATCGGGGCTCAGTCCCCCCCCCTTCCGAAAGAATGCAGAGTGACGCTCCTGGGCATTACAACATGGTATGTGTAATGCAGCTCCAGCATGTGAGAAATAGTGCGTAATAACTGGATGAACACTTGCGGTGGGTCATGTGACGCTGAGCATTTACACTATGGGTAACACATGCCAAAGCCATGTCCGGCTACGGCTAATGTTCCTACAACGTCCCGGTCGCAAGTCCCATTAGACATCAGCTCGTGCGTCGGAGCGCGTTTTCGCTGCCTCATCACCGTCGTCATTCGAGAGGCTCTTGCTTCGAACGCGGAAAGTTGCCAAGGTCGTCATCCGCGCGCAGGCTGGGCGTCCTCAGTTGGCACCACGAGTATAGATCCGTCAGCGGGACAGAATCGCTCACATGGATCTCACTTAGCCGGATAGTACCAGCCTGGTATGGTACCGTACCATGGCACGTGGTCGGTAGGCAGTGAGACCCACTGTTGCCGTATGGTTCCGTGTGAGAGGCTTGTGATCAAACTAGCCGATGCATCACAGGGAAACATCTGAGTGAGCAGATTCATGGTGACCGGCACAAAATGCTTCAAGGCCACGCCGAGAACGAGGCTGGGGGGCGTCGAGAAGCGGCATTACCTGCTCCAAGGACATCGCAGATAGAGCCCATGCGAAAGTAGTCACGATAGGCAACTACAGTGTCACTGAGGTTTTTACTGGTATGCATTTACTAACGAAAGAGCCACCCCAAAAGCGTTTTTATACACCTGTTTTGAGTTGACTGGAGATGTTGTCTCACGGGCTCTCAAGCAGCCCCCTGTATTTGAATGCTGCTCGTTTTCGCCCTGATGAGATGTGTCGAACCGGCAGCCTTAAAGGGCATGGCTTGGCCTCTCGCGAGCTCCACAAACTTGCTGTTCGCAGCTGGCACGGGATACTTTGAGAATAGCAGTCAGCGAATATCTGCGCTCGTTGATGATATTAATGTCACATCATCCAGTACTGTCTGAAACTTCGCTGCCTAATTGTTGTCAAAATAAAGAAGCTCGTCGCCTTCCAAGTTTGATGTTCGAAATTTGGTTGATAACTCACAACTAAACAAGGAGGGCTGCATTTTCGTTCGACAGCATCACCCGTTCGTCGGTCGCACCACTGCCCCCTCCCCCTCCCCGCCCCCCCCCCCCCCCCGTTTTAACCTTCCCGTCCGTCCGGCAGACATTCAAGGAGCGAGAGCAGGGCCGGCTCGTGGTCTACGTCACCACCATGGGCATCGTACGCGCCACCTATCAAAGGTGCCAGCGTGTGCGACAGATCCTACGGCAGCTGATGGTGCAGTTCGAGGAGCGAGACCTGTTCCTGAGCGAGGCCATTCAGGAGGAGCTGCGACAGCGTCTAGGCTCCGACAGCGTCCAATTGCCGCAGCTCTTCATCGAGGGACAGCTACTCGGGGTGAGTGCTGTGATGGAAAGAGCAACTGCTTGGGGTGGGTACTGCAATGGGAGGAGCAGCTGCTTGGGGTGGACACTGCGATGGGAGGACCAGCTGCTTGGGGTGGGTACTGCGATGGGAGGAGCAGCTGCTTGGGGTGGGTACTGCGATGGAAGGAGCAGCTGCTTGTGGTGGGTACGGTGATGGGACAAGCAGCTTCTTGGGGTGGGCACTGCGATGGGAGGAGCAGCTGTTTGGGGTGAGTATTGTGATGGAAAGAGCAGCTGTCTGGGTGTGTGCTGTGATAGCAAGAGCAGCTGCTTGGGGTGCGTACTGTGATGGGATAAGCGGCTTCTTAGGGTGTGTACTGTGATGGGATAAGCAGCTACTTGCGGTGGCTACTGTGATGGAAAGAGCAGCTGCCTGGGTGTGTGCTGTGATAGCAAGAGCAGCTGCCTGGGGTGGGTACTGTGATGGGATAAGCAGCATCTTGGGGATGTGTGATGGGATAATCAGCTTCTTGGGGTGGCTACTGTGATGGAAAGAGCAGCTGCCTGGGTGTGTGCTATGATAGCAAGAGCAGCTGTTTGGGGTGGGTACTGTGATGGGATAAGCAGCTACTTGGGGTGGCTGCTGTGATGGAAAGAGAAGCTGCCTGGGTGTGTGCTGTGATAAAAAGAGCAGCTGTTTGAGGTGGGTACTGTGATGGGATAAGCAGCATGTTGGGGTGGGTACTGCGATGGGAGGAGTAGCTGCTTGGGGTGGGTACTGCGATGGGAGGAATAGCTGCTTGGGGTGGGTACTGCGATGGGAGGAGCAGCTGTTTGAGGTGGGTACTGTGATGGGATAAGCAGCTTCTTGGGGTGGGTACTGCGATGGGAGGAGAAGCTGCTTGGGGTGGGGTACTGCGATGGGAGGAGCAGCTGTTTGAGGTGGGTACTGTGATGGGATAAGCAGCTTCTTGGGGTGGGGTACTGCGATGGGAGGAGTAGCTGCTTGGGTGGGTACTGCGATGGGAGGAGCAGCTGTTTGGGGTGGGTACTGTGATGGGATAAGCAGCTTCTTGCGGTGGGTAAGAAGTTCTGCCTCGCCGGTCCAGTTTGCACACAGTTTCCGAGTGACGGACTATAGTTTTTTCCAGATTTTAGGACTAGAGCACAGCCTATGGTTCGAACTTCGGATCATGTCAAATACTACGGAAAGTGGCATAGCGCTGCCTCTGGTGGCTGACATATCAGATGGGAAAACGTGCACCACGGCCAGAGTAGCTCCCGACAAGGAAATTAGTGATAACGAATGTCTCCAATGTAAAAAAGGAATATATGTAATCTATAAAATAGAATCTTCAGCCTACCACCTATTAGAACAAACTGAAATTTACGGAATTTGCCATAAATACATACTTGTCTTTCAAATGTAACGGATGTTAAATCTGTTACGATGAGCCAAATTATGCATTACAGAACACGTTGTGCTTGAATGTGGTACAAGCCATGAAGTATAGCATTCCACAACCAAAATTATGCGCATCCGAATTTCCGTAATTTACCCCCGAGATCAGGACGGAGAGAGAGAAATAGGTAATAGCCAACGACGTGTAAACAAGCAGGTACAAATACAGAGTTGCCGTGGACTTCAGTCTCGCCTGTCGGACTGTGTTGTTTGCTCTCTCGCTCGCTCTCTCTTGACGTCGCCAATGAATCACGCCTTGTGCAGCTCCAACCGGACCTATCCCGGCGCGGTGGGCCAGTCGGCGGCCGCTGGGTCGGCGGCACCGTTAGCTAACCCGGACCGGCGATGACCGGCGCGCCAGGGTCGGTCGCGCTCGGCTACGGCACCCGCGAACCCAGCTGATCCGCCAGATTAGAGGCCAGGAGACAAATATGGCGCATGGGATCCACTGGATGGGGATGCATCGCTCACTGGCGGTGGAAGCCGTTACTATCTACACCCATCTCGGCGTTCCGTTAAAAAAGAAAAACAAGCAAAACGTGACTGATAATTATTATGCTCGCATGTGACTGGAGCGGGCGTGTGACAACCAGCGTTGACTCGGAGACGTTCGAAGGAAACTAACAATGTTTCTAGACGCCAGGCGTTGGGAATACGGATGCAAATGAGGTGCGTGGGTGTCGAGACGGCAGCTGTGACCTCTGCCACCGCACCCATCCGCCTCCGATCCCCTGGCCCGGTATTTCCCGACAGCCAGCAGGCAGCCGGCTCTGTGGCCGCCGCCGGCCCCGGCTCAGCGAGAGCGCCGCTCGGCCGGCGCCGACTCCGGCCTCTGCTCGGGCGATGTTGCCTTGCCGAGGCCGTCAGCGGCCGGCGGCAGGGCCGGCCCGTGATGCTGGTCCGGCCGGCGGCGCCGCGCACGCCGTGCCAGCTGGTGGCTGGTGGGTCAGCGCGAGGCATCGTGCTCCTGTTGGGTGATTGCTGGTGACCCCGCCACACTCGTTATGATTCAGTAGTCATGGTTAGCGGGGCAGGTGCAAATGTCTCGTGCTTCCAGTTAGTTTGACGCAAGTACTGGATGTCTGCGTGTCCTTTGCGAAACACCTGAAAACTGTGCGAGCTGCGGTGAATTCACCGACTCTGAAACTTACTTTCATGAACTCTGAAATTTGCAAATTTCCCAACCGGTAGCAATAGTCTTAGGCTACAACATCTCTGAATTACGGATTTTCTTGGCGTTAGGGAAAGGCTTGAAAAATTCTGGCACAACCGTGGCTGGAGTATGCTAAAATAGTTGGGTGTAGCAAAGCCGTCAGAGCGTGCAACTTTAAATAAATGGAAATTATAAAATCATGATGGTTCGGATGAAAGCTTGCGTGACCGCTGGCCACAACTGCTACACCGCATGCTCCACCCATACCCGCCGCCTCGGTGATTGCATTAGCTAGAATTACACGTCTTGAACTTGGACCGTCATTGGAGGTCAGAGGTTTCCTTGGGCCGAGAAAATGATTACTGCCGCTGTGCTAAGCGCTCTTATTACCTGCGAGCACGTCCGCAGCACATAACCGGCGGGCTGGGTGACTGGCTGCCTGTGTGAATGAGTGGCTGCCTGGAATGGAATGCTGCCGTTTATGAAACGGACGGACGGACGGACGGACGGACGGACGGACGGACGGATTATCGTCGCGGCTCTCAGTCTCTGTTTCCCTTCAACTCAGTCGGTTTTGCTCAGCTCCATGGGCAAGCCCGCTGGCGCCTGAAGCGTGACCCGCTGGGTCACGCTTCAGGCTGCAGGCACCCGATGTTCTGTCAGTGAGAGGCAGACATCTCTCGGCCGGTAGCTGATGACCTGATACTGGTGTGCCGTCAGGGCGCCGATACGGTGGAGAGATTGAACGAGACAGGCGAGCTACGCCGCATGCTCAAGCCATACAAGGTAAGAGGCTGGTGGCGACCACACACACGGCATTGTGCAGCTGAAAAAGGTGCACTCGAACAAAGGAAATGCGTGTCTTTGGACTTGCCCAGTGTGTTGAGCAGCCCACAGCCAAAATGGTGGTGATCATTGGTATTGTTTCCGCGTTACTTATGAAATTATTGCTACTTAGTTGCACCTACATTAAGTACTTTCCAATCTCAACAATCATATCCAAAAAAATAGATCATGCTCATTCTACTACCTCGTTGCAGCTAGACACTTTTGAAATGTTTGAAGATGTGCTAGTATGTTATCATCCTCTGGTATCCTAATATTCCACAAACTTGCGAATTATTGGGAGCTTCTGGTGATAACACTTGTCGGTGCCGATATTCATAGATGCTGAGTTTTAAACAGCCTTGGGTATTCCACCGTCGTAGTTATATTCGTTGATTATTGCAGCTTATCATGCTAAAAATATGTTTACTTTGGG